TCCTTGCTTTTGTGGCTCCCGAGTTGAAAGTTGCGGACAAGTTGCTACGGATACACACACACACACACACACACAAACCCATGAGAATATGCGTTTAGTACTGCTGCTACACAGCACAAAACGCATAAAAAACCTTTTTATCTTAAACTGAATCACAGCAGGCAGTGTCTTGCTTGTGTGTAGCAGAAAGTTACCTGTGCAATAACAACCTGAACATCTTTCTAGAAAATAACAGTTTTACCTCCGGCTTTCACGTCTCTCCGAATCGTCGATCAGTTTTAATTTGCGCCCATTTACTTCCTTCCCTTGCAACTTATCCAATGCTCTTTCGAGATCCTCGCGTGTCAAAAAGCATACGATCCTAAAACACATGAATCGAATATACCAGCAACATATATCTGCTTCATGAGATGATTCTCCAGAGAGGGCAATTACTAAAACTCGGTTCGGCCGAGTTATGTTCGCATCCCAGAAATTCACTGGAAGAAAAAACACGGCACATATGTGTGCAGCTATATTTTTTGCAGCTCGTACTCGAACGTGTGCAATTTTGCGCGGTGGGGCCATGCTTTAGTAACTGCTTCAAATAATACGTAAAATAAAACTCCTTACCCTTCATTGGCATGCTGTTTATGCGCATCAGCAAATGTTACCTCACCGGCGGTTCGCATAATGTCCTTGAGATCCTGCAACACGATAAGGCCGCTATAAAAGAGAATCCCAAGTGGTTACAAAAATGAATTTAATGCAAAAGGGCAAAGTTTCGAAGATACATTTTCTTCGCCTATAGCAGATGTAATGAAATATTTGAGAGAAAAAATGCGGACAGGAAGAGCACGGAGCACAATTTCCCACAAAAAAAATTTCTCGTCTTGCGAAACCGATAAAAAATCGTAAAAAAACACAAATGGCGAAACAGGCTGCTCTGATATTGGACGGGAATGCGGAAACAAGTAATGCCTATTATTTCCAGCCCCTCTCTTCCAGTATCTCGGTTGCCGAGCAATACACATAAGGAATTTTTTATTTTGTATTTTTAGAGAACTGACCAGATCATGTTCTGATGTGGCTCTCACGATGCGGCAGTACACCACCACTAGCCTCAACCTGCGACATCAGAACGAGCGGCACACCGAATGAACCACCACGTAACACACCCGGGCCCGGACGAACGCGCCGCCGCCTAGACGCACCAACAATAAACCACAGCAGCACTAGCTCGCGACTACCTCCTCTCTGGCGCCTCCTTCACTCCAGCTCTGAGCTTATATATGCAACCACCGAACGCGCTTCATCAAGCTCGCCAAACAATGCGCGTTCGATGCAGCAGAAAAACTAAAAATCTTCCGTTTTTTTTGTTTTTTTTTCTTTCACATAATTCTTCGGCAACACCTCGAACAGAGCTGCTGCTGCTGCTGCTGCAGCAGCTACCAAAAGGATGCTGAAATGTGTGGAAAAGTGCGCTTCTCTGTGACCATCAACAAGCTCCGTTGCGAGCACGTGGTGTACCTCCGTCCCTTTGATTACACGTACTTCCTGGTCAAATAACGATGGACGATGCCTCCGTGGATCGCAACACTACGTTATCTCACCTGCCACGAACAACGCGACGAAAGGTTTTCTACGATCAGTCGATAGCGAGTCTGCTGTGGTGGACCATATCTATAAATGCAACATTCAGAATCGTTATTCAATCAAATCTCTGAAAAATTCTGCATTTAAACCAAACATTCGCCGCCCTCCCCGGTACCCCATCCCAATAATTGCCGGTAAATTTGTATTCCCAAAGCACCGAAGCTTGACACGTGAAGCTAATGCTACACATGAAAATTGCCTACGATGAAGCGCTGTCCCAATGACTTAGCCAATACACTGCCCATGGGAAACAGAAATTTTACATAATGCAAGAGAAAAAAGCCACAAGGGTGGTGATCTCTAAAGACAATGTGTGCATGGTGCTGCGAAGAGCTGCAAAATGTCGCAGCAACGCTACAAGCTAAATGCCTCACACCGGCCTTGATTCACGTCTTGGAGGAGGAAATCGATCAAAACCACCGCCGTAACCCATGCGACTTCGCGGACCCCGCCGCGAAAATTCGAGAATTACTCGTTCACCACACAATTCCTTTCCATTTAGCTCATACACTGCATCGTCTGCATCCCGTGGATCATCAAATTCCTGCAAAACATAAACTCTCCAGAACTTTATATCAGAAAACGCATATAGAGTGCTTCGCTGCTAGAAGCTGAGGCCTGCTGATAACTAACGCTTAGCATACCCACCTCTTCCAGAAATGTTTCGAACCCAATTCTTTTTCTCCCACTAAGCCTCCCATACAAAACTGTCACGCTAGCCCAGGCTACCGCTAAGAAAACCGCTGATGTTACAGAGCGACTGAATTCGCAAAGAACAGGACGAGCCGTGAACAACAAGTATTCGCCGTTGATAGAAAGCCGATTTCGCTACAGCTTTCCTCAAGTGACGACGCCTCCGCACGGCACAGAATCCCATGGCTGCGC